TCTAGTATTTGTCAACAGTATCAGAAAAGGCTTGTGTAAGGAACTAAGAGGGCACAGTACTATTTCGTACAAGTAAAAATTGTATGCACCGGGGGTAGAAATCACAGTTTCACACCCCAACAATGTATTCTTTGATTGTGCTTTACTGTGCACCTATATGACAGAAAGTGTTCATATGCATATCTAGAATTCTAACAGCAATATTTAAACGATGATACTAGAAAACTAGCATTTTCTCACCTATTACCCAAGTACCAATTTTCGTTTTAAATTTTTGAGCTGTAGTTTTTTGCCGCTTTTCAGATTCTCAAAATCAAGGGATAGTTTCCCTTGTTTTAGAGATTTCAGAATAACAGCTGAAAACTTCAATTCAAAATGCAGCAGTATTTGGGGTAACCAAGAGCATGAAAAATTGGTATAAATACCATATTGATAATCGTGGCTCAGTTGGAGGTGCTTTCTTCAGATGATGTCGTCACTGGTGGTAGTAGAAGGTAGTTGAGAGAGTATTATCTGTAGTATCTATACCAATAATCTGTAGAGGTTAGGTAGAAATCCACTGACACTGAATAGTGACGGTATAGACCACAGTAAATATTGATCATATGACATTCGCCTGGGGGTGGAATTCTCGTTTGGCATAGGATCTTTGTTGTCTAAAAGTATATAGATATCATATCCTTACCATATTTGTTATGTCTCCAAAATTGTGTCTCCTCCACAAAAACGCAGTTTTCTGAGAGTAAATTAAGAAAATATACCATGAAAAAGTAATTCGTTTAAAATCGAGATAAAATTGTACATTTGGCACCAACATACGTCACACACATGGTCATTACACTTATCCATGCGTTATTAGATGGCGCATAGCCGTTTACTATTATAGGCGCATCAGACAGGTTAAAGGAGCCAAAATTTGAAAATCTTTGTTGTAGGGTTTTTACAAGTTTTAGAATTTTACAATAAATATTATATAAATATAAGATATGATACGACTCACATACACTGATCTTAACAAATGATGTAACCATTAACCAAATGGTAGTCCTTTAAAGACGATAATAGTGTGCGTCACCCTTCCTCCTTACTCTATTCAAATACCAGATAAGACCAGATTTGGAGCACTTACTGTCCCCAAAGCTGGAAAACTACCGTTGAGACACCGTTGTTTATACAGCGTGCGGCAGAGAGGACGGACGTTTTTGGGATGGGTAGTACTCTCCGCCTCCGTCTACGAGAGAGGTGGGGAGGGTGCCGTTTGACTCGTGAGATCCTAGCATTATTTTACCAGTTGTCGTTATGGAGCACCGCCTTTTTTGCCTTTGATTGTTTCGTCCGAAATAATGAGTCAGTCATCCTTGTACAGCGTGAGTTTCGTTGCCACTTCAACATTAATCGGAATAGAGCTATTCCCTCTCGAAACGCCATCCTTCGTTGGGTGAAACACTTGGCAGGCGTGGTGAACTGATCAACAGAAGACCAAGAGGAGCGCCGCGAACAGTTCAAACTCCTGAAAATGTTGAACGCGTTCGACAGGTCTTTCTTCGCAGTCCGACTCCGGAAACATGCTGCTGCACTTCGCCTTAGTGATCGTTCGGTAAGGCGAATTTTGCATATGGATCTCCGCTTTCACCCCTACAAATTCGTCATTGTGCAACAGTTACAGCCCGGAGATTATGCACAACGAATGAACTTCGCACGTGAGATGGAAGCACTGATCGATCAAAATGAGAACCTCAAGGCTAGAATATACGCGAACAAGCCCCGAACTCTGGACGAATTGAAGGGCGAAATTCGCGTGGAAGTCGCCCAAGTTGAGAGAGCGATGTTGGAGAGAGTCTTCGCGAACTTCCAAGAACGCCTCCAGCACTGCATCAACGATTTCGGCCACCAAATGCCTGATGTGATTTTCCACACTTGACTGTCTCAAATTCTACTTCCTTGTGAACCTGATTCCATCAATAAATTTATTTTCGAGTAAAAATTAACTATTTTATTTTTTTAAAACCGTCCATCCACTCTGCCGCACCCTGTACTTTCTGCCATGATGCGGTACGCACAGATCAGTTAGACACCACACTTTTTTATATTCATATGGATTCCGAGGGCGACCAGAAAATTGAGTAGCTCAAGCTTGACACAGGCTGAGTAGATCAGTTTATGTAATCGTAACCAGCCATATACAATGTTGTTTCATGCTTTTTACCGACCGCTACATCGGTAGCAGGAAACTACTGTTTCCCTGTATCTCTGAATGACAATCCACTTCAATGAAATAAACAAGCATCGACTACCACATTCCTAAAAAGTATAAAACAATGTTGTATACAATCGGTTATGGTCACAGTGTTTATGCTACTTATGCATAGTACAATTATGCTGGTAGCATAGAGCACTTCTGAGTGACGGGACGCTTATTTGGTGGGTGACACCTGTTCATTTCTTCGAAGCGGACTGTTACCGGGCAACTGTAGCTTCCTGCTTCCGACTTTTTTATTAAAGCTTGAATCAAGAATTTCTTTTTGACGCTCACACTTTTCAGGACCTGCTTTCGCCGCGGCTTGAGTATAGAAACAAAACGATAATAGTAGTAGTAGTAGTTTTAGTGTTTTTTTTTTTCAGGGCCGTCGCCAGGCCGCAACCTGGAGCGAGTGGGTTTATGAACCTCCTGACGTGCTGCACTTACCACTGTCGGCATGTCTTTTCTTTCATCATTTTCTTGATTTCGCCCTACGTCTTCCTTTCCGAATCGACCGAATTAGGAGTTCGGTTGAATGTTTCGGTCCTCTTGTTCCTGGTTTGCCACTATTCTCTCTCCTTTCTACTCAGGATGTCCCTGGTCGTTCTGACGATGGTCTGCCATTTATCCTTTGCGTGGACCATTTCTTATACCATATCCACCGATGTTAATCGCACTCCGAGCTAGGTCCGGGCTTCTGTTCTAGATGCCTCCCACCTAGGACAGGGGAAAAGGACATGCTTAGGAGTCTCCTCCACCATACAGCTTATCAGCGATATACCCCATTATTTTCCTGTAACTACGAAAAGGCTCATGCCCAGTTAATGCCTGGATAAGATAGTCGTTCAATTGGCGGTGCTTCCACTCCGCCCAGAAAGCTATCACTGGTATTAGCCGTTTCGTTCATTGTGCCGTGTCAGTTGTTTGGTCTTACTTGGATTGTCACTCGGTCATCAGTCTTGCTTCCGCTTCCCTTTTATTCTCGGCTGGTGTCCTGTCAAGTGGAGGGGAAGTATTGCGGTGATGACCTGAAGCACCCGCGTTGAGGCAATGCGATACGCGCTAGCCACCCTTAGCAGCGAGTTTCTCTGTGCGACATCGAGAATTGCTTGGTATTTCTTGTACGTCATGGCCTTCTGCCAAGCGGGTACTGCATACAAGATGATTGACTGCACTACCCCATACAACACCTTCTGTCGCTCACTGCTTGGACCACGAGTGTTGGGCTTTATTCGTCGTTTTAGTGGTAGTAGTAGTAGCAGTAGTAATAGTAGTAGTAGTAGTAGTAGTAGTAGTAGTAGTAGTAGTAGATGTTTATCAATAGCCAGGGGCGGCTGGCCCTTAAGTTCTGCAGAGCTGCAGAACGGCCAAAGCTTTTGTCTTAACACAAAAAAACAGTAGTAATTTGATCATTATTTATTTTCCATGATATCACACAAATAGAAACAATACCGGCAATGCTGCCCCCGCAAGACACGGCGTCGAGTCTGTTTTGCAGCATTATGATCGACCAATTGTGTACTTGTCATTTTCGGCGCGACCGCAGCGTAACATTATTCATGGGCCACTTGAAAAGGGTCTGTGCACTACTTCTACACAAGCCGCACGCGCTTGCTTTTGTCTCTCTCTCTCTACAAGCATAAGCATGTGCTGCAATTTATGCAGATCCGTTCAGATTTAATGCGAAGTACGATATCTGATTGGTCGGTCGTTGCTCGGTCCTCGGTATTGGCATATTGGTCTTGTCGCGTGACGTGGCTTAAAATTTGAATGCGAAAAATTTTTTATTCAGGTATTTTGGGTCTTACGTTGAGTGACTAGTGACTCACTGACTGACTGTGGCTGTGTAGAAGGGTAGTGCAAGACAATGGATGTGGTTTACAGACTTATCAGCGTGAAACGGTTCTGGAAATACACATTTGAGGAAAAAACTGAGCTAAAGGTGTCAGGTCGACCGCTGCCGGACATATTTATAGAAACACAGGGCGTCAGTCGGGACAAGGGCTATACGCGGCATTTCAGCAGGGAGCTTTACACCAGAAATGACTGGATTTGTGGGTGCAACAGGAAGAATGCCCTTTTCTGCTATCCTTGCATACTTTTCGGGGATGACAAAGCTTGGATGGAGGTAGGTGTTACAGATTTAGTGCACCTGAGTGAAAAAATTAATGAGCATGAAAACTCTAAAACACATCTTCATAATTCGATGGAATTGGCTTTATTGGGGACTGTTAACATCAGAGCTTAGTTAGATTCAGCATATTGGAGAAGTATACAACAGCATAATGATACCGTTACAAAAAACAGGTACGTTCTATCAAAAATAATCGATTGTATAAATTTTTGCGGAGCATTCGAATTGGCGCTACGGGGCCCCGACGAAACCCAGAGCTCCCAAAACCCGGGAATATTTCGTGGACTGATTAATTTTTCTGCTGAGCTTAATACCACCTTAAGCGAACACATAAAAAATGCTTCAATATTTAAAGGAACTTCGAATGAAATACAAAACGATCTGCTGTATTGTATTCTTGAAGTTTTTCATGAAGAAATAATAAAACAGATTAACAGACCCTCGTATTTGGCGATAATAGCAGATGAAACAACGGACATTTCGCGGAAAACCCAACTGGTAGCAATTTTCAGATACGTATTCAACGGCGAACCAGTAGAACGTTTTTGGAATTATATGAATCCCGAAAAATGTGACGCTGATACTCTTACAAGACATATTTTGAGCGTCGTAGATCCATTAATAGGAAATTTCCCTAACAAACTAATTTCACAAAGCTATGAAGGAGCCGCGGTAATGAGCGGACATAATGCTGGAGTACAGGCAAAAATTAAACAAAGATATCCATTTGCTCTCTATGTGCATTGCTATGCGCATCAGTTAAACCTGATTATGTCCCAAGCTGTTTCCGCAAATGCTCAAGTTCGGGTATTCTTTGGGGATTTGAAAGATATTCCGGGATTTTTTAATAATTCTCCTCAACGCGTAGAGGTACTGAACAGAATTGTGGGGAAAAAAATTTCACAAGGAGCAACAACTCATTGGAATTTTAATATTCGAGCAATAAATGTAATGTTTGAGAACAGAGAATCACTCATTGAATGCATGGAAGAAATAGAAGAAAATTTCACTAATGAAACCGTTTGCAAGGCAGCTTGCGGTATTCGCCGTATGTTAAACGATTCTGTTTTCGTGTTTTGGTCGACATTTTTTCATCATGTCATGCCTCACGTCGACATCTTGTTCAACCAGTTGCAGAAGAGAAAAACCGAGCCAGCGCAAGTTAAAACGGCTATCGATAATTTTGAAAAATGTATTGCCGATGTGAGAAATAAAATTGATGACGTAATAAATTAAGCCAAAAGTATTTGCACTGAACTCCAAGGCAACAAAAGGAGACGACGTAATAATAGCAGTCACGATCACCGAGTTGCCGCATTAGAAGTATGCGACAATATAGTGAATTCTGCAAATGACAGATTTCAATTCAAAGATCATTTGGTAGCCGCATCCCTTTTTTCCCCGAACACTTTGGAGAATACTGTGGTAAGTTTCCTGATGACAGGTTGGAAACTACCTCCTTGGCTTATCCCGAATTAGAAAAAAGTCGTTTAAAGACAAGAGTTGTCTATTATTTATGCACGGAGTGATTGCCGAGATTCACATGGAACTCTGTCTCTTTTGAAATTTTTGATACAAAATAGTTTGGAGAAAACACTAAAAGAAATGAAAAAGCTATTAGAAATTATTGTTACAACTCCTATGTCAACATCAGAGGTTGAGCGAAATTTCTCAACATTGAAAAGAATCAAGACTTTTCTCCGTAATACTATGACCCAGGATCGCCTTACAGCGTTGTCGATGCTGTCCATTGAAAAGGAATTTATTTCGGCCATGGAAAATTTCAACGGGAAGGTGATCGACAAATTTGCTGCCAAGAAGCAGCGCAGGATCGAACTGACATATAAAAAATAGGTAAGTTCGGATTTGCAGAACACCTGTTTTATTTTGCCACGAGCCGGCACTGGCAATAGCGTTAATCTGATTTACAAACAACTTGTAAAAATTGAAGACATCACTTCTATATGATAAACAATTAACGTTCATTTGAAAAGTTTACTCTCCATCTTGTAAAAATTTTATTAATGTGAAAACTATGTACCGGTATGGTATCAGAGTTTTTTATATGTCTTGGCGGCTTTTACAAACTAGAACATTAGTAAAAGAGAACAACTTTTCTTGATTATATACTCTGCATGTTTGTGCAATCTCAAAGAATTGTCATTCATGAATCCAAGATATTTGTCTTTTACTGCCAATATTTCTCAACTTATATTTTGATGTAATAACCATTGCTTTTGTTTTTCTAGTATTAAGTTTTCATTTATTGATGCTTATGTACTCCTTAATGCTCCTTAATGAATTATTAACCACATTGTTAAGACTTCGAAAACAAAAGCCGTGGTATCATCAGCAAAATCAGTCAGATCATGTGATCCAGGAATGTAATAGATAAGTTATAAATAGTAATGGCCCCAATACATTGCCTTGAGGAACCTCCATATCATTGAGCTGCTCTATTGATACTGTACCAATGATTTTAGTATTTGAAGTCGATTACATGAATAATTTTTAAACTGCTTCAAAACTGTTCCAGATATGCCATATTACTCCAATTTTTATGTAAAATTTTGCTATCGATAAGATTAAGCGAAAGCTCTAAAATTCGCCATAAAAGCTTTTCCCAAATCAAGCACTTCCATTGAGAAACTAACTCAAACGCACTAATTTTCCCCTCATACATAACTAATAAGAATCGCAGTCATAAGTTCACGCGCTGCAATCTTGTTCTAATCAATTCTATGTGTAAGCAGAATGCCGCGAGCATGTTAATGAAAGTGACCCACCTCATTCATAAATTTCTCTTTCGATACGCTGCTGGTAGTCCGCAGTTATGTAATGCTACGCCTAGATGTAGACCACCAGACGGTGCTGTAGCCGAGTTACGTGATGTTGGTATACTCACACTTCTGCATTTCATCCGCCTAACAATCATAACAATAATAGACCGCTTAAACTCATGCGCGAAAACTAATTCTTATGTAGAATCTCGAGCTCCTCACGAATCTGTTGTCAAAAATGGGAAGTTGACTTCCAAATGTCCTTTGAAGTCATTGTCTAGATCATATTTTTACATCAACAAATGTCTTTCTTGATACCCTGAAACCATACTAGAAACCTTTTTCCCAGAAATTGCATGGTTCTCGGAGTGTTCGGGCATTTAATTGACCCTGTATAGCCTTCCGATAATCGTCAAACGAACGCTAAGTAACGATAATCATTCCAGCATAGTGCTGAGAGGACCAATTAGCTCCAACACAGTATTAAGGAGAATATGAGTACAAGGAGTGGTTTGATGTTTAACTGGTCACAGTTTATACAGAAAGCAAGAAATAGTGGACAGAATATAAGAAACTAAAATGTTATCTTACGTTGAGTGAGCTTAAGACTGTTCGGCACTAGGCAGCGAGACTTATAATGTAGTGATCATGTATTGAACAACTGGTGACTCAGCTATTATGGAAAATGTTAGAATTAGCGTTGTGACCCAACCTTGTAGAATTTTCCATTCTTTTGAAGTAACTTCGGCGGGCTCAAGGTCAAATCGAAGGTCACCATTACACTCTTTGTTCAAAGTTAGAAAAAACTTGATATGGACCATTATCAAAAATACCTTACTTGGAGGAATACACAGGCGTCCTGTTACTTTTATTGCATCCAGCATAAATAGCCAGTTCAAAACTGGAAACATTTTCAAATAATTGCACTGATAGCATCCTTGTCCAATTACATCTCTTTCATCACTGAGTGTACCATCCACAAGATTCCAATACAATCTTGCTGTCTGACAGACAGCAGATTCAGCTTTTACTGTGATCCCTAGTAAACTCCCTGGCATTTCTTGGGGATACGAGAAAAGAGAAATAATATTTTATCCTTTCAGGAAAATTGACGTCTTGTTTTATCGCAAAAGAAATTGGACATAAACGTCTGAAGAGTGATGATTGCGAAATTGTGTATTTAATTCTCTAATGGTCAGCAATATAAAGCTTTTATGAGTATCCGAATGGTCTGTTATGTACGATTAGAGCCCAGTTAGACTTTTATCGGCAAGGCCTTTCTAATGATGCGTCTGCAAAAGTACAGTCAATTTATTTCTGAGTATACGGTGTCAATATCCCCGAGAAATTATGTGATTCAAGATTCTCGCGATCACAAGCAGTTTTTGGTTATGACATAATGCAATTTGAGCAGGGTGACCCTGTGGCAGCAACTGATTCCAGGACCTTTCTGGATAACTAAGCTCACAGATACACCATGAAACCACAATCAAGAAGTCACCCTGATCAATACCTACAGATCCGAGATATTAGAAATATAAGGATTGTACGTAGAAGGAATTAGAAGACCAATGGAAAATCCACCGTGCTGACAAAAACTAAAGAGATTGTGAGCAATAGGGAATATGCATGATTTTTTTGCATCTTGTTTTTGATTAGGGTACTGTCGACTTTTTGGCATACCATCTGTCTACAAAGTATTAATTTATAGTTTATGTTTATTGCTACAAATAACCCCGCAATGGGACATTAAGCTGACATGTTGACAATCAATGATAGTGAGAACAAACGCATACCATTTTAAATCATTCTGACAAATCAACAAAAGGTCGTCTGGTGAGAGGTCGCAAATAGAGACGACACGCCAATACCGTTACGTTCCGACATTTCAAATTTACCGCATATTATTTCCATTTTGTATTATTTATTAGTACTGGTAAGTTTAGCGCTCAAGTATAAAATAAGGTTGAATGCGTCATTCAGTAGCATTATAGGGGACTTTCTGGCAGTAGGAACATTCTATGCAAACTATAGCAAACGAAACAATGCAAGAATGGTCTAAGCAAAAAAACGTCTTCTTAGTACATCATGAAAGAAGGAACATCTACTTATACTACATGGCGACGAGATTACCCAGACTTATGCCAATACAACAGATTCACGCCTTGCAGTAGAAAGACTGCCCAACGTCCCTAAAAACAACATAAATATAGAGATATAAGTTCCAATAGTAGGATCACTTTGTTTGCCGGCACTGTGAACTTCATATTGTATTTTTCTATATACCTACCACCTTCTTTTTTATTCGATCTCATTGTCTTTATTGCACCTTATACCACTAGTCTATATACACGGGTAAAGTACTTTCAAAGCTGACAGTATTCTGTTTGAGCAGCAGACCAGCATAAAAACGGCTAGCAGTACTTTACAGTGAAGAATATCGTTAATTGTATCAGACATCATATCTATATAGCATGCTTACACCGCTTTAGTCTGTCTTATGTTTTAAAATTCCCTGACCTGTAGATGCCGAATGGATCTTCAACTCCATTATTTTACTACATTTACTATATGAAGTCATCAATCATACTGGGCTTGTATTATTTTCCATTTTCCTAGGTATGCATATTATCCGTTTTGTACAGTGAACTCGGAGTGAGTAACCGTCACGAACTCGTTACCACACCGGATGCGTTTTATAGGTTTTGTGATCCACATGGAAACAAAAGTTTCATGTCAACAAACACGAGAGAGGAAAAAGCGGCATATTTTAGTTTATTCGTACGCATCTGTGCAGCAGACCCAACGTCTATGTGGAATTCACGGAGGAAGTATCAGATATCAAAAAAGGCACTGCCAAAGATACTACCTCTTTTATTTTGGAGAAAGCTTGGCGATGTAGGTAGAAAACGTCGTTTTGTTGAAGAATTTTGACATAGAACAGAAAAGGATTTATTTAGCTTCGAGCTACTTCAAGCAATCGTAAATATTATTTACAAAAAATGTGTTAAAGTGTTAGTGGTCGTCACATCAAATCAAAATAGTCTCTCAGAAGTCTCTTTCAAATAATGATAACATTTCTAGATGTTTTTGCAATAATAGGTAG